TGCTGCTGCTACTTCCTCTGCACCTGCTGCTGCATCGCCCGCAGCTCGCGGCACTGCTGCTGCTGCAGCACGCATCCGGACTTCCCTTCCCGGGGACTTGCTCGGCTGCTGCTGCTGCTGCTGCTGCTGCTGCTGGTCAAGCAACTTAGGGATATGCTTCGGGCTGGGAGTTCTGGCAGCAGCAGCAGCAGCAGCAGCAACTTCTTCCGTCGAAGGTGAAGCCAAGGGGGCCCCCTGGGGCCCCCTAGAGAACTTCAAATTGGGGCCCCCAAAGGGGTTTCCCCAGGGCCCCCCTGTGGGTCTTGTGTCGCCTGCGGCGGCGACAGGAGGCCAGTTCTTGCTGATGCTGCTACTGCTGCTGCTGCTTTGTTTGCTGGCGTTGCTGTTGCAGTTAGGCTGCTGCTGCTCTCCCCACAGCAGCCCCAGAAGCCCCTCAGGGGCCCTGGGGGCCCCCTGCTGCTCCCTCCGGGGGCCACCGTGGCTCCCCCCTTGTTGCGCCTTTGGGGCCCCACCACTTGCTGCTGCTGCTGTTGCTTTTGCTGCTGCTGCTGCTGCTGCTCGACTGGTTTTCACGGCTGAGACGAAGAGGCCCCCTGGCCGCCTCAAAGAGCTCTCTGGGGGGCCCCCGGGGGCCCCCCGTAGCTGCTGCTGCGGTGAAGAGGGTCGAGTGGCTGCTGCGCTCGCGTCTCTGCTGCTCCTGCTGCTGTTGCTGTTGCTGTTGCTGCTGCTGCTGCTGAATGGGTTGGGGCTTAGGAAGAAGGTGGCGGGCACTGGCTGCAGCAAATCGCCCTCGTGGTCTAGCCGCACGGAGCTCGCGGCCACGGCATGCCTCGCTGCTGCTGCTGCAGGCTCACCTGCTGCTGCTGCTGCTGCTTCTGGGAAGGAGTGGGCCTCGAGCTCCTCAGGACTTGCAATGAAAAGAGAAGTCCACACCTCCTCTGGGGGCAGCGGGGGGGCCCCCCGGGGGCCCCGGAGCTCGGGGCAGTCGCAGCCGCGGAGACTTGCTGCTGCTGCTGCTGCTGCTGGCGATGCTGCTGCTGCCGCTGCGTCGTGGTCTATTGGGGCGTCTCCTGCTGCAGGGGCTAGCTGCCCGCGCTGCTGCTGCCGGCTCATTCGCTAGGCTGGGGGTCCATGGGGTGTCTGTCCACCTGCTTGCTGCGGAAGTGCTGCTCACAGTGCAGCGGGAGCAGCAGCAGCAGCAGCTGCTGCTGCAGCAGCAGCTGCTGCCGCAGCAGCGCCGTCGATGCTTCTCAGGGCCCTCGGCTGCTGCTTGTCTCCAGCAGCAGCAGCTGCACAGCCGCTGCTGCTGCAGGTAGCATTTAGGCAGAAGCAGCAGCAAAAACGAAGAGGCAAAACACAAACGCAAACAAAGCAGCAGCAGCAGTAGCAGCAGCAGCAGCAGCTCCAGGGTCGAGGCGGCTCGCCGTCGGCTGCGGGCAAGGAGCTTAAGGGCAGCAAGTAAGAAAAAGGAGATGAGACAAAAGGACTAAAGGAAGCAAAAGCTGAAAAGGAAGCAAGTATCTCCCTCACGCACACCCAAAATCGACTCCTGCTGTTGCTGCTGCTGCTGCTGCAATTGCTGCTGCAGCAGCAGCAGCAGCAACTGCAGCAGCAACAGCAGCGCCACGGGTGCTGCTGCAGCAGTTGGAGGCAATCTAATACATCCCCCGCCATAAAACAGCATTTATAATATTTGACTCATTTGCTTTTCAGCAAATCCTCTTTTGCTGCTGCTGTTCCTGCAGCCCGTTGCTGCTGCGCGCGAGACGAAAGCAGCAGCAAAACCACAGCAGCAGCAGCAGCTGCTGCTGCTGTTGCTGCTGCTGCTGTTTCTGCAAATTAATTATGCTTCTGAGTTAATGTTGATTTAATGAAAACGAAATTTAGCGAAAAATTTCCCAGGGGGCTGCTGCAGATGCAGCAACAGACTCAGAAGCTGCCGGGATGCCGGTGGACTTTAATAAATTTAATTAAATTAATCACAATTAAATTAAATTAAATCAATTTAATTCATTTACAAACTCAAAATCCCCTTTTCTGCTGCTCCCTGGCCCCAGGCACCCGCAGCCAGAGGCGACAGCCGAGGCGGCCGGTTGATAGTTTAGGAGTTGAAAATAAATAAAAATAAATAAAAATAAATAAAAATAAATAAAGAAATAAAAATAAATAAAGATAAACAAAGATAAATGGCAGTGAAGTATGGTGAGAATTGGAAGCAAGAAGTGGCAGAGAATTTGCTCGTTTTTTCGCTTCCAGGGCATGGGATTTAGGATTAGGGTTTAGGGTTTAGGGTTTACGAGGAAGGTCGCCTTCGATGTGTTGGATTTTCAACTTTATATCTCTTTCTCGTGCCCGCAGACCACTTCAAGCAAGCCTCCCCCAAACCCTAAACCCTACACCCTAAACTCCTGAACCCTAAAACCTTAAACTCTGAAGCCCAAACCCTAAACCCTCGCAGGGGGTTGTGCTTTTTGCATCTGAGGCTTTGATAATGCAGCAACAGGGTTTATGAACTTCAAATCCATTTTGATGCTTTTGTTTATTTGAGAAGGGTTTTGCATGCAACTATCTGCGACAAATCGACTAAACCCTAAACCCTAAACCCTAACAAACCCTAAACCCTAATAAACCCTAAACCCTAAACCTGCGGAGCCCTTTTTGTCGCGTCTTTGTCGACTCTGCAGCCACTAAACCCTAAACCCTAAACCCTACACCTTAAACCCTGGACCGTAAACCCTAAACCCTAAACCCTAAACCCTGAAATACATGCAAGCACAGACCAAATTTGGAAGGAAGTGAAATGCAAAATTAAATTAAATTAAATTAAATTAAATCAAATTAACTTAAATTAAATTAAATTAAATCAAAATGCACTTTTATTTTTCTTTAAAGTGAAAATTTCATTGCAAGCCTTTTAAGCTGCTTCACTTACTTTTAATTCTTTTCTTTACTGTATTTATTTTTAATTTTTAATTTTTAATTCATTTTTATTTCCCGCTGCTGCAGCTAATTAATTCACCCCCGGAAGCCCCCCCTGCAGCTCCAGCTAGCCACGGCTAGCAACAGCGCAGCTAGCTGACATTCTTCATAGGCGGCTAGCTAGCTAGCTAGCTAGCTGGCTAGCCAGCGGTCCGCTTGTGTAGCTAGCTAGCTAGCTAGCTAGCTACTGGTGGCTGGTTGGAAGGCTACCGAGCTAGCTAGCTACCTTTCAGGAGAGCTAGCTAAGCACTTACGCAGGCAGCTAGCTAGCTAGCTAGCATCAAGGGCAGCTAGCTAGCTACTTTTGAAGGCAGCAGCCTGGTCCTTTGTGACTGTAGCTAGCTAGCCATTTACATGAATGGCTAGCTGAGCATTTATAGTCCAGCTAGTCCTCTAGCTAGCCAGCTTAAAGGGCAGCTAGCTAGCTATGTGAAAGGACGGCTAGCTAGCTACGTGAAGGCCCAGCTAGCTAGCAGCTAGCTAGCAGCTAGCTAGCGGCTAGAAGGCCAGCAGCTGCTATTGCAGCCACTGCTGCAGCAACTGCAGCAAAGCTTGCAGCAGCACCTCCTGCTGCTGCTGTGGAAGCAGCAATATGGCCACTTAAATTCGAATTGGTTCGATTCCCCTCACTGCAGTATGCCAGCTAGCCACATAGCTGGCTAGCTGCTCCCAGCTAGCCAGCTAGCTGCTCCTAGCCAGCTAGCTGGGCCTCTTTTGGGTCAACGTCGCCTAGCTAGCCAGGCTAGCTAGCTGGCCCCGTTGTAGCTAACTAGCTGAAATGCCTGGCTAGCCACCAGCAAATCATTTGAATTGGTATTTAAATATTAAATACAACAAAATTAATTAATTAATTAATTAATTAATGTCTTGAACAAACTGCAACACACGCCTGGGGGGCGCCTCTCCCTAGGGGCCCTGGGGGGCCTCTCAGGGGGCCCCCTGGGGGTCCCGAAGGTCTTAAAGGGGCCCCCCAGGGGCCCCCCTTAGACCTTTTTAGAGACATTTTTCTGCTTTTTTAAGGGCATTAAATGAAGATTAAATAAAAGTAAATAAAAAGGATTCTAATTTGTCTTTTAATTTCATTTTGCTGCCGAGAGAAGGGAAGAAGAGTTCCCGGCCTGGCGGGTCTGGAGGCGCCAGGCGGCAGCAGCGTGTAGTTGAGGGTTTTTAGCCTCCGAATTTGAATTTAAATCCTTTTAATTGATTTATAATAATTATTTTTATAAATATTTTTTCTTTTTTCAGAAAAAAGAGTTCATGGAGTACCGCTAAAAGCCGGGTGCCCCCAGAAACACGTTTGCTGCCACCCCCGCCTTCTGCTGCTGCTGCGGGGCCCCTGCAGCAGCAATGGGCCCCTGGACGCTCTCAGCAGCAGCAGCTGCTGCTCTCCGGCGGCAGGCTAGCAGCAGCAACAGCAGCAGCAGCGGCAGCGGCGAAGTGCCATCTTCTCCGTGCTCCGGTGCTGCTGCTGCTGCCACCGCAGCTCCCACAGCAGCAGCAGCAGCAGCAGCAGCAGCGCCGGAACCTATCCTTGTGACGTGCCGCAGCACCGGCAGCAGCTGCGCAGCCACAAGGGGCCCCCCGTGGGGCCCCCCAGGGGGGGCGTGGGTGGGGCAACTTGAGGGTATTAGAATTTCTTTTCCTTTTGAACCTTATGCTTCTCAGAAGCAGCTAATTGCTGCTGCTGCTGCTGCTTGTCTAGAGGGGCAGCACGCGCTGCTGGAGAGCCCCACGGGCACTGGCAAGACCCTCTGTTTGCTGGCAGCAACTCTCGCGGTGCAGCAACAGCAGCAGCTGCTGCTGCAGCAGCAGCTGCTGCGCAGCCCCAACGCCCTCCAAAGAGCTGCAAACAGCCACCTCCCCTGGATGCACCTGCAGCAGCAGCAGCAGCAGCAGCCTGTGGTGGGGAAGATCCTGTATGCTTCAAGAACTCACGGGCAGCTGCAGCACGTAATGGAAGAGCTGCGAAAGACTTCTTATGCTGCTTCGGGGGCCCACAACGAGCTGCTGCAGCAGCTGCGGCAGCAGCAGCAGACGCAGCAGCAGCAGCAGATGCAGCTACAGCAGCACAAACAGGAAAAACGAAAACACTCTTCCGTCGTCGGCTGGAGCGCCTTAGCCCCAACCCCGCCACCTGCTGCTGCTGCTGCACCTGCTGCTGCTGCTGCACCTGCTGCTGCTGCTGCAGTGAAGACCCCGCCAACCGAAGCAGCAGCAGCAGCAGCAGCAGCACCAGCAGCAGCAGGCCGCGTCAAACTAGAACCCGCAGCAGCAGCAAAGCCGGACGAGAAGCCGCCGGGCCCTCTTCCATCGCCCGCGGCATCCGCAGCAGCTGCTTCCGCCCCCGCAGCAGCAACAGCAGCAACAGCAGCAGCAGCAGCAGCAGCAGATCGGCAGCGGGGCCTGCGGGTTTGCGTGCTGGCCTCTAGAGACCATTTGTGTGTAAATGAGTCTTTAAGAAACTTCAAGGGGGCGGCCCTCGTCAGGGCCTGCAGGCAAAGAGTCAGGGCCCAGGTAAGCTGCTGCTGCTGCTGCTGCTGCTGCTGCTGCTGCTGCTGCTGCTGCTGTGGCTGCTGTGGCTGCCGCTGGTGGTGGCGGTGTCGCTGTTGCTGCTGTTGATGGTGGTGTTGTCCTTGCTGCTGCTGCAGTTGTCGCTGCGGCTGTTGGTGCTGCTGCTGCTGCTGCTGTTGCAGCAGCAGCGACAGCAGCAGCGCCTGCAAGCCTTTCCCCCTTGCACCATATGCAGCCAGCTAGCCAGCTAGCTAGCTGCCTAGCTAGCTAGCGAACGAGTTAGCTGCAGCAGCTGCAAGCGAGCTGCTGCTGCTGCTGCTGCTGCTGCTGCTGCTGCTGCTTGCAGGCCTGCGGCTTTTATTTGGGATTAATTAGACAAAAAGATTTGCTTCTGGAAAAAGTCTTTTCCTTCCCTGGGGGCGGACTCGACATTGAAGAGCTGAAAACCCTAGCCACCACTGTAAACCCTAAACCCTAAACCCTAAACCCCTTTGTTGACACAAATGCCTAGACCCTAAACACTCGGCATTAAAGACCAGAGCATAAAAGCTAAACCCCAAACCCTAAACCCTCGGGCCTGAGAAGGCAACGTTTGGTTGCTGCTGCAGCAGCGGAAGACGGTCTTCTACATCAACAGCAGCAGCAGCAGCAGCAGCAGCAGCAGCAAATGATGTGTGGCTTTGTCTCTTTTTGTTCAGGGGGACTCTCCCTTTTGTCCCTTTTACCTCTCGCGAGAGGCCCAGACGAAGGCGAATTTGCTGCTGCTGCCTTACAGCTACCTCTTGGCGCCCCAGGCCAGCAGCAGCAGCAGCAGCAGCAGCAGCAGCAGCAGCAGCAGCAGCAGCGGCAGCAAACTCCTCAGTCCTGAGGCCCTCTCAAACGCCCTCGTTGTGATCGACGAAGCCCACAACATAGAACGCGTGCGCCTCTCTAGCTAGCCACTAGCTAGCCACAGCTAGCTACAGCTAGCCACAGATAGCTACAGCTAGCCACAGCTAGCCACAGCTAGCCACAGCTAGCCACAGCCAGCCACAGCTATTCACGGCTAGCTACAGCTAGCCACAGCTTGCTACAGCTAGCTGCAGCTAGTTACAGCCAGCCAGCCACAGCTAGCCACAGCTAGCCACCGCTAGCTACGGCTGGCTACAGCTAGCCACAGCTAGCTACGGCTAGCCACAGCGAGCTACAGCTAGCCACGGCTACAAAAGCTGAGACTTGAAAGAATTAAAAGTAAAGGAATAAATAAATAAGTAATCAAACCAAATAGAATAAATAAAATAAATAAAATAAAGAATTGAATTGCCTCTTGAACTACGCAGGTTGCAGAAGACAGCTTTTCTTTCTCGCTGCGGCAAGTGACCCTAGCGCGCTGCCTTGCTGCGCTGCAGCAAGTTGCTGCTGCTGTTTGCCAAGAGACTGAAGCAGCAGCAGCAGCAGCAGCAGCAGCAGAAGGAGCAGCAGCAGAAACAGCTGAACTCCCCTCCCTTGCTGCTGTCTACACACTCGCGCAAAGCGTGCAAGCGCTGGACAAGTGGCTGGCAGAGGTGAGGCAGCAGCAGCAGCGGCAGCAGCAACAGCAGCAGCTGCAGCAACAACAGTAGCAGCAGCAGCAGCAGCATCAGCAGCACCTGCTTGGCTCTGTGCTGCTGCTGCTAATCCAGGATTTACCTCTTTAAAATTTTGCTGAGTCTAAATTTGCTTTTGTCCTCGTTTTTGTCTTTCGTTCACTCCGCTTATTTGTATCTTCCTGCTGCTGCTGCTGCTGCTGCTGTGTGCGTGCAGCTGGAGCTGCTGCCTGCAGCAGCTGAGATCTCCACGCCGCACGTGCTGTTGTCCCTCCCAGAGTTTGCGCCTGCTGCTGCTGCTGCTGCTGCTGCTGGGCAGCAGCGACGGAGACACTTGAAAGCTGAAGTCCAAGAAAACAAAGAGCCGCCAGTCCAGGGCTTTTTTGGCTTTGCAGCCAGAGAGCAGCTAATCGAAACCCTTGACAGGTAGCAGCAACAGCAGCAACAGCAGCAGCAGCAGCAGCAACAGCAGCAGCAGTAGTAGTTGCTGCATTAATAGTAATAGTAGTAGTGGGGGGAGCAGCAACATTAGCAGCGGCAGGGGCAGCAGTGGGGGCAGCAGCAGCAGCAGCAGCAGCAGGAACGGCAACAGTAGGGGGGAAAACAGCAGCAGCAGCAGCAACAGCGACAGCGTACTAGCAGCAGCAGTAGGATCAGCAGAAGCAACAGCAACGGTGGAGGCGGCAGCACCAACAGCAGCAAAAGCAGCAGTAGAAGCAGCGGAAGCAGCAGCAGATTTTGCCACTGCTTCTGGAACGGTAGCAGCAGCAGCAGCAGCAACAGCAGCAAATGCCGTAGCGGCGCATCGGCAGCAGCAACATCAACTAGCCAATTATTTAGCCACTTAGCTGTCTAGCTAGCCACACAGCTAGCTAGTGAGTCACCCAGCTAGCTAGCTAGCCACCCAGCTAACTAGCTAGCTAGCTAGCTAGCTAAACAACTTCCCAGCTAACTAGCTAGATAGATGGCTAGCCAGATAACCAGCTAGCCAGCTTGCTAGCTGGCTAGGTAGCTGGCTATCCAGCTAGCTAGATAGCTAGCTAGATAGCTAGCCAGCTAGCTAGCTAGCTAGCTAGCCACTGCAGACACTAAATGGCCTGCGCCTTTTCGGGCCACCACCTCGTCCATCTATCTCTCTGTTTTCCCATTAAGAAATAAGCAAATAAATAAATAAGCAATTAATTAATTAATTGATTAATTAATTAAAATAAATAAATAAATTGATTAATTAATTAAAATAAATAAATAAATAAATAAATGGTTATCTGTGTTCAGGTGTATCGGCATGTTGGAAATGAAAAGCCCTTTGGGCGACGAAAGCAGAAGTCCTTTGCTGGAGGCAGCAGCAGCGCTGCAGCAGCTCAGAGACGCAGCAGATGTTAGCTGCTGCTGCTGCTGCTGCTGTTCTTGCTGCTGCTGCTGCTGCTGTTCTTGCTGTTGCTGCTGCCGCTGTTGCTGTTCTTGCTGCTGCTGTCGCTGTTGTTCTTGCTGCTGCTGCTGCTGCCGTTCTTGCTGCTGCTGCTGCTGCTGCTGCTGCTGTTCTTGCTGCTGCTGTCTTTGTCCTTGCTGCTGCTGCTGCTGTCCTTGCTGCTGCTGCTGGAGGAGCGCCGCTGCTGCTGTTGCGCTGGCGCTGCGTTGCGCCTGCTCCTCACAGCCGCAGCTACGCTGCTGCTGCCGCTGCTTTTGCTGCTGCTGCTGCTGCTCTTGCTGCTGCTGCTGCTTATGGGGCTGCTTTAAAGTCAACTAAGTATAATTAAGGAGCAGCAGCAAATTGTTTTGCTGCTGCAGGTTTTATTTGGAGAAACGACGGCGGCGCACGAAGAGGCCTTTCAGGTGTACGTACACCCGGATGAAATGCACTTCGATTTGGAAAAAGAAGAAAAAGAAAAAAACAAAAAAGAAAGAAACGAAAATGAAGAAAACAAAGAAATAAAAAAGGAAAACAAAGCCGCATGCAGAGCCAAGTGAGTCGTCTTTTACTTATTTTATTTTATTTTTACCTCTTTATTTTCCTTTTCCTTTTTTAATTTCATTTTGTTTATTCTTTTGTCTCTTTTTGTCATTTTATCTTTTTGTTTTTTTTTGTCTTTTTTCTCCTCTTGTTTTTTTCTTTTTTGTATTTCGTACTAAAATGTCCTTCAATACAAAAGTAAATTGCTGCTGCTGTTACTGCTGCTGCTGCTGCTGCTGCTGCTGGAATTGCTGCTAGTGCTACCGCTGCCGAAGCTGCTGTTGGTGCTGCTGCTTCTGAATTGTTTCTGCTGCTGCTGCTGAAACTGCCGCTGCATCCGGAGTCGCTGCTGCTGCTGCCGCTGGAACTGCTACTGCTGCTGGAATCGCTGCAGCAGCAGCTGCAGCAGCAGCAGCTGGTGCAATTGTAATTCGATTATTTGAAATAAATATTTTTTTCCTTCTAGGGCAATTACAGTTCTTTGTCTTTCTGCTGCTCCTGCCTTCGCCGCTCTTGCCAAAAGAAACGTTCGCTCGGTCCTCCTGGCCTCAGGTTTGCTGCTGCTGCTGGTGCTGCTGCTGCTGCTGGTGCTGCTGCTGGTGCTCCTGCTCCTGCTGCTGCTGCTGCTGCTGCTGCTGCTCCTGCTGCTGCTCCTGCTGTTCCTGCTGCTCCTGCTGCTGCTGCTACAGAAGTTATTGCTGCTTTCGAAAATACAGCAACAGCTGGAGCCGCTGCTGCTGCTGCTGGACTTGTCGTTGCTGTTGCTGCTGAAATTGCTGCTGCTGCTTGTAAGATTGTTACTGCTGCTGCTGCTTTTGGTATCGCTGCTGCCGCTGCTAAAATTGCTGCTGCTGCAGCATTCACTGATTATATTATTTATTTATTTATTTATTTGTTTATTTATTTATTTATTAGGCACGCTGGCCCCCCTGGAGCCCCTTGCTGCTCGATTTGCTTCTCCATCTTTTTCGATTTCAAAATTCTTTGAGTCGCAGCACTTTGCTTCGCAGCAGCAGGTTTTGTCTTTGCTGCTTGCTGCAGCAGACCCCGACAAAGCAGCAGCAGACTGCAGCAGCAGCAGCAGCAGCGGCGGCGCGGGGGCGGCCGTGCTGCAGCAGCAGCAGCAAGAAGCAGCAGAGGCCGACAGCAAAAGCCACCAGCTGCTGGCCGTCTATAAGGTCAGGAAACAGACAAAGCTGCTGCTGCTGCAGTTGCTGCTGCTGCTGCTGCTTCTGCTGCTGCAGTTGCTGGTGCTGCTGCTGCAAGGGAATGGCAGCAGGAACTGCAACTGTGGCTGCTGCCGCTGTCGTTGCCATCGCTGTTGCAGCTGCTGTTGCAGCTGCTGCTGCTGCTGCCTCGCAGCTGAAAACACACAGCAAAGCCAATAAAAATAGGGAATAAAAGCCACTAAGGTCCATCAACTATTTAAATAATTAAATAATAGGTAATTAATTAATCAATTAATAAATCAATTGACGAATTAATTGATGAATTATTCGAAAAGTTTGCTGAATTGCTGTTGCTGCTGCTGTTGCTGCTGCTGCTGCTGCTGCTGCAGGGCAGGGAGAGCAGCAACTACTTGCGGGCCTTCAGCGCGTCGCTGCTGCGTCTCTCTCGCGGGATTTTTGGAGGAATTTTAGTTTTTGTGTCTTCTTACAGTCAACTTGAAGGAATAATTAATTTCTTTAAATCAGAAGCAGGCAGCAGGTGGTTTGCTGCTGTTGCTGCAGCAAAAGCCGTCTTTGTAGAGCCCAGAGCAGCAGCAGAACTCCCCAAACTGCTGTTGCAGTTCAAGCAGCACATTGACAAAGATGCTGCAGCCCTTAGCCACACATGCAGCAGCAGCAGCAGCAGCGGCAGCAAACGCACGACCGGGGCCATTCTCCTGGCTGTCTGCAAGGGCAAGATCGCTGAAGGTAATAACACTAAAAGCCGCAGCAGCAGCAGCAACCGCAGACGCAACAGCAACAGCAACATCAGCAGCAACAGCAGCAGCAAAAGTAACAGCAGCAGCAGCAGCAGCAGCAGCAACAGACGCCACAGCGCAGCACAGCAGTCCCTTCACCCAGCCACAACTGCAGCCGCACCTGCAACTGCAACTACCACTCCTGCTGCATTTCTGCTGTTGCTGCTTTTCTGCTGCTGCTGCTGCTGCTGGCTTTCTGTAACTGCTGCCTTTTTGCTGCTGCTGCCTTTCTGCTGCTGCTGCTTTTCTGCTTCTTTTCTGCTGCTTTCCTGTTGCTTTTCCTCCGCATTTCTGCTTCTGCTTCATTTCGACTGCTGCATTTCCTGCTGCTGCATTCCTGCTGCTGCTTCTGCATTCCTGCTGCTGCTGCTGCTGCTGCTGCTGCTCAGGGCTGGACCTGGGGGACTTGTACTGCCGCTGCGTTTGCGTCTTTGGAATTCCTTTTGCTTCCTTGCGGGACCCTCGGGTGCAGCTGAAGCGGCGCTTTTTGAATGAACAAGTAATAAATAAATAAATCAATAAATCAATAATAAATAAATAAATAAACAAATATATTTAATTGTTGTTATTTGTCTTTTGGTTTTTCTATTTGCTGCTCCCCAGCATGCAAAAGACCCCAAGGGCCTCTCAGGCAGCGAGTGGTACACCCAGGAAGCAATCAGAGCTGTCAACCAGGTGCTGCTGCTGCTGCTGCTGCTGCGGTTTCTGCTGCTGCTGCTGCTGCAGTTATCTCTGTGTTTCTTGCTGCTGTTGCTGCTGCAGCTATCCCTGTGCTTCCTGCTGCTGTTGCTGCTGCAGTTGGCTTCGCTTTTGCGGCGACTGCTGCAGTCATTGCTGCTGCTGCTGCTGCTGCTGCTTCTGTCAGCGTTGCAAGCGTACTTTTGCTGCTGTTATTTACTCTCCAAAATGTGTCTACAGCAGCACTCCAGCCCTGCTACTACTGCTGCTACCGCTGCTGCTGCTGCTACTGCTACTGCTGCTGCTGCTGCTGCTGCTGCTTCAGGCTGTGGGTCGCGTGTGTCGGCATAGCAAAGACTTCGGGCTGATTGTCTTGGCGGACTGCAGGTGGGCAGCAGCAGCTAAACAGCAAAATGAAAAAGATTGAATAAATAATGAATAAATAAACAAAAATGAATAATAACTTGATCTAGTTGTTGTGTTTGCTGCTGCTGCTGCTGCTGCTGCTGCTGCTGCTGCTGCTGCTGCAGATTCGCGCAGCCGGCGATGAGGCGGAGCCTTTCTTGCTGGGTGCGGTCTCAGCTGTCGCCGCCGCTGGAGCTGGCAGCAGCAGCAGCAGCAGCAGCGGCATTTTTTGCTGCTGTTCCTGCGGCACTTCGAGATGCAGCAAACAGCAAACTCAAAGAGGAGATTGGCTGCAGCTATCCCGCTGCTGCTTTTGACTGGCAGCAGCTCGAGAGAGCAGCAGGGCCGCTGTATCTTGCTGCTGCTGCTGCCACTGCGGCAGCGAGCCAGCTGCTGAACCCTGCAGCAGCAGCTGCTGCTGCTGCTGCTCGTAGGGACGCCAGTGGGAATAAGCAGCAGCAGCTGCTGCAGCAGACGAAGGCGCTGCTGGGCAAGACTGCCGCCACACAACTGGAGGGAATAGCAGCAGCAGAAGCAGCAGCACAACAATGCAACAGCAGCAGCAAAGATGGGGCGGAAAGCGCAGCAGCTGCAGAAGCTAGCGCGGCACGCAGAAGGCATTTGCTGCTGCAGCAGCAGGGCGCAAGGCCCCTTAAGAGAAGAGCAGCACCAGCCGCAGCAGCAGCAGCAACTCAGAAAAGAGGGCCCCCATCTTCTTGTTTAGTGGCACTAACAAATGCAGCAATAGGGTTTGCTGCTGGCAGCAAGCCAGCACCAGCACCAGCGCCAACAGCAGCAGCAGCAGCTCAGCAGCAGCAGCAGCAGCAGCAGCAAGCGCCCCAAGATGAAGGCGCGCGCGCCCAGTGCCCCCCAGAGGACACAGCCGAAGGTTCTTCTCAAAGCAGCAGCAGCAGCAGTAACAGCGGCAGCAGCAGCAGCAACAGCAGCAGCAGCAGCAGCAGCAACAGCAGCAGCACCAACAGCAGCAGCAGCAACAGCAGCAGCAGCAGCAGCGATGTTAGTCGCGAGTCCGCGCGGGACACAGGGCGGCAGCTGCTCCAGAGCCTCAAGGAAGAGCTGCAGGAGGCTTACCCAGCCTTTTGCCTGATGCTGAAGCAGCTCTCTGCTGTTAGGAAGCCACAGCAGCAGCAGCAGCACCAGCAGCAGCAGCAGCAGCAGTCCAAGGGTCTGCATAGGGGCAGCAGCAGCAACAGCGGAGCAGCAGCGGCGAGGCAGTACGCGGCGATCGTTGAGGCGATGTGCACCGCCTTGCTCGAGCGCCCTGCTGTTGCCGAGCAGCGGCAGCAGCAGCAGCAGCAGCAGCAGCAGAAGCTGGTGATGCGCGCAGCAACTTGACCTCGCCAGAGACGCACCCTGATGCTGCGCCCCACCCCACTGAGGGCCCAGCTGCTGCTCAGCAGCAGCAGCAAGAGCAGCAGCAGCAGCAAAAGCAGCAGCAGCAAGTCGGTGAATGCTTGATCTGCGCTACTGAGGGGACCCTGCTGCAGTCCATTGTGTGCGGGCATACGGCTTGCAAGGTATGTCACTGCTGCTGCTGCTGCTGCTGCTGCCGCTGCTGTTGCTGCTGCTTCTGCTGCTGCTGCAGCAACAGTAGCCTTTGCTGCGTGTTTTCTTCCCCAGGACTGCTGGGGGCGGCGGCTGGCTGAGGTCCTCGAGTGTCCATTATGCAGAAGGAGAGTGAGACACAAGTTCCTGCAGCCACTGCAGCAACAGCAGCAGCAGCAGGAATAGCAGCAGCAGCAGCAGAGATTCCAGCAGCAGCAGCACAGCAGCAGCAGCGGCAAGGATAGCAGCAGCAGCGGCAGGGATAGCAGCAGCAGCGGCAGGGAAAACAGCAACAGGAGCAGCAGGATTAACGAGCGGCGGCTACAGGGCTGTCCAGTAGCTGCTCTATGCAGCAGCAGCAGCAGCAACAGCAGCAGCAGCGGCAATAGCGGCAGCTGCTTTTGCCCCTCTGGGCTTCACTGAGCCTGCCGTACAATGGATTTGCATTGCCGCTCTTGCTACTGTTGCTGCTGCTGCAATTGCTGCCGGTGCTGCTGCAGCTGCCGCTCCTGCTGCTGCTGCAGCAACAAGGCAGCAGCGAAAAAGCATACAGCCATTTAGCTGCTTAGTCGCTCGCTGCTAACAATTCCTTTTTTCCTTTTATTTAGTTTAGTTTTATTTTATTTTGATCTTATAAAGGCCTGCCAGCCGCAGGCGAGTGTTGCTGCTGCTGCTCTTCTGCTGCTGCTGCTGCTTCTGCTGCTGCTCCTGCTGCTGCTCCTGCTGTTGCTCCTGCTGCTAATGCTGCTTCCTTCCTGCTGCTGCTACTGCTTTACTGCTGTTGCTACTGCTTTCGTGGTGTTGCTGCTGCTGTCTGCACTCGCCTCTACCTCTTGATCTGCCGTTGCTAGTTCTGCTTCTATTCGGGTTAATTTACATCAGCAGCAGCAGCTGCTGCAACGACAGCAGCAGCAGCAGCTGCTGCTGCTGCCATAGGGGCCTGCCCTTCAGTTTCTTTTAGAAGCCAAGCAGAACTTGACGTCACTTGATGACGCGTAGAGAATAAAACGCCAGCAAAAGCAACAGCAGCAGCAGCAGCAGCTGCTGCTGTTGCTGCATTTCCTTCGGTTGCCACTGGCGCGGCGCACTGCTGCACCAAGAGCAAGCAGCAGCAGCAGCAGCAGCAGCTGCAACAGCGGCAGCTGCTTATGCCCTCCCGTGCGCCTAGACAGGCGCTGTAGAGGTGCTGGACCCCACCTGCTGCTGCTGCTGCTGCTGCTGCTGCTTTTCTTTGTCTCTTTGCTGCAGAAACTCCTCATAAGACATTTTCACGTCAACGCTGCCGCTGTGCAGTAGCACAAACTCCCGAGTGCTTTTTCCAAAGCGCAGCGTGTCGCCCTCCCTAAGCAGCAGCAGCAGCAATAGCAGCAGCAGCAATAGCAGCAGCAGCACCAGTAGCAGCAGCACCAGTAGCAGCAGCAGTAGCAATTAGCGTGTAGTAGTGAGAGCGGGATGAGCAGTGGTAGCCATAGTAACGCAAGCAGTAGTAGCAGCAACACCACAGCAGCAGCAGCAGCAGCAATAGCAGCAGCAGCAGGGCTGTGGCTGCTCGCTTTAAGAATCTACGGATTAGCGTTTGTAGCAGCGAGAAAAGGATAAAGGGATTGAAGCACCTTTCTAGAAGTTGCAAGGGTTTAGAAATCAGAAAGTCTAGGGTTTAGGGTTTAGGGTTTAGGGTTTACCTGAGTTCTATATATCTTGCTGCTTCTACTCTTTCGTCGTTTAGATAAGTGCCGTTGGTGCTCTCCAGGTCTATTATGTAGGGCCTGTTCAAGCAACACAACCACCTGCTGCTGCTGCTGCTGTTGCTGCTGCTGCTGCTGTAGGGTGAGGCGAAGAGCAGCAACAAATAAAATGTTCAAAGTGGGGGAGACACACAAAATCAAACTACTAGGCACAAGAAGCACTTCGCTGCTGCTCTGCTGCTATTGCTGCTGCTGCTGCTACTACTACTGCTACTGCTACTGCTTCTCCTACTGCTGCTGCTGCTGCTGCTGCTGCTGCTGCACGTACACTACGTTGCCGAAGCGGCGCCTGTACTGCAGCACGGCGTGCTGCTTAGAGACTGTGGGGTGCAGCAGCAAAACGTCAGCAACCCTGTTGTCTTTTCCAAAGAGAAACCAAGAACGCCGGTGGATGTGCAGCACCTCTGCAGCAGCAGCAGCAGCAGCAGCGCAGCAGCAGCAGCAAGCAGGAACACGCAGCAGGTGCAGCGGGAAGCCGAACGCACGCAACAACAGCAGGAAAGAGGACAGACGCAGCAGCAGCAGAAGGCGCAGCAGCTGCTGCAGCAGCAACGGAGGAAATACAGCAGCAGCAACAACAACGAAAGTGCAGCAGCAGCAGCAGCAAAGCTGCAGCAGCAGCAGCACTAGGTGCAGCGAAGACGCGCGAGCGCAGCAGCGGCAACCAAACGAAGCGCAGCAAATTGAATCCAACATAACAAATAAATAGATAAATAAATTAAATAAATAAATGAATAAATATTTAAGTAAATGAAATAAATAAATAAATAAAGTACTTCCGGGCTCTTCGTCAGGAGAGGCGAGGCTTTTGCGGTGCTGCTTCTTGAATTGGTAAAGACGCCACTTCTTGTCCGGCAGGCTTTCGTCAGCAGGAGGCCCGTGCTGCAGCAGCAGCAGCAGCAGCAGCGGCAACAGCAGCAGCAGGGGAGAAGCAGCAGGAAGCGGCAGTAGAAGCACAGCAGCAGCAGCAGCACAGCAGATGCGAATTCACATGAGACGGCAGCAGCAGCACAGGCAGCATAGCAGCCAGAAGCAGCAGCAGCAGCAACAACAGCACAGCGTAACCCTGCTGCTGCTTCATAAACTGCTGCTGCAGATACCCTTGGGATTACTACAAGCAGCAACAGCAGCAGCAGCAACAGCGGAACATGCAACAACAACAACAGCAGCAACGGCAAAACAGACTACAACAACAACAGCAGCAGCTGCACCACCAGCTACTCTATGCAACAGCAGCAGCAGCCGCAGCAGCAGCAGCAGCAGCAACAGCAGCAGCACCTTAAGCGGAACGCCGTTTCTTTCCATTTGTGTTGCTGCTGCCTCTCCAGCGTCCTCCGCAAGCAGCCCAGAAGGTTCAAAGGTTGGCTTCAGCGCTGCAGCAGCAGCAGCAGCAGATGCAGCAGCAGATGCAGCAGCAGCAGGAGCCCGGGCAGTGGGCAGTCACCAACGCAGCACAGACGCAGCAGCAGCAGCAGCAAGAACAACAGCAGTTCAGCGGTAGCAGGAGCAACAACAGGTATAGCAGCAGCAGCAACAGGATTAACCGCAGAAGCAACCACCGGAAAAGCAGCAGCCTTTGCAGCAACCGCACTAGCAGCAGCAGCAGCAGCGGCAGCACCAAAGTACCGGGTTTGAATCTTTCTTGACTTTTGTCTCTTTCCTTTTTTTCTATCTCCTTTCCGCCCCACTCATAGTTTGCTGCTGCTGCTGCTGCATCTTCTTCGCGGCGTCTCCTTCTGCTTCTTGGTTCTTCTTTGGCTCTTTTTGCTGCTTCTTGTTTGCTTGCTGCTGCTGCTGCTGCTGCCAGTTCTGCTCGTGCTGCAGCAGCAGCAGCAGCTGTCGCCGAATCAAAGGCTTCTTCCTCCTTCACGCGCTTATACGAACCGCCATTTGCTGCTGCTGCAGCGGCAGCAGCAGCAGCAGGGGCCCCGCGCTGCGGGCTGCGGCTGCGCCATCTGGTCCGTGCTGCTGTTGCTGCTGTTGCTGCTGTGTCTTGCTGCTCCGGCTTTACATCCCAGCCCCCCCTATGGCTTCGGCTGCTGCTGCTGCTGCTGCTGCTATAAGAAGGGTAGCAGGACTCCTGCTTAGTCCGCTGCCATGAGCCAGGTGGCATTGTGTCTTGCCTGCTGCTGCTGCTGCTGCTGCTGCTGTGGCTGCTGCTGCGGTAGCTTTCGCCCCCCATCTTCTTGCTGTCACCCAGATCGGCTGCTTTCTCAGGGAAGGTTGCTGCTGCAGCTGCTGCAGCTGCTGCTGCTGCTGCCGCTGTTCGTCGCGCTGCGGCGGCTGCTGCGTTTGCTGCTGGTGCTCGCCACGCTGCTGCAGCTGCTGCTTGTTTTCTGCAGCCTTTTCTGCCGCTGCTGTGGCTGCCAGAGCCCACTGCTGCAGCGGCGCTGCAGCAACTCTCCACTCACACCCTAAACCCCCAGTCGTAGACCCTAAACCCTAAACCCTAAACCCTAGACCCTAAACCCTTGTCTGTTGGCCAGTGGCCCGCGCTGCGAGGGGCTTAAAGAGTAGCAAAAAGAAAGGCAACGGAGGGTAGAGTGTTAGAGCTGCTGCGGTTGCTGCAGGGACAGATCTGGTGCTGCTGCAGCCGGTGCTGCTGCTGCAGCTGCTCTCCCGCTGCTGCTGCGCCGCTGCGAGGGAGCCTCGGCAGCAAAACTTAGTAATAAATGGATATAACACTTTGCTGCATAACGGGACTAGGAGCAGCAGGTCGCAGCAGCAGCAGCCCTGCATGCGCAGCCTTGCGTTCTGCAGCTGTTGCTGCTGTTGCTGCTGCTGCAGCCACTTGGGTGTGGCTCGGTGCGTTTGCCGCTGCTGCACTTCATTCGTTTCATTCTCGGTAATTAGTTGTGCTCTGTCTTTTTGCTTTTTTAGCTTTGCTTTTGCTGCTGCTTCTGTTGCCGCTGCTGCTGCTGCTGCAGCGGCTGCTCGTGCGCTTCCGGCGGCCGTCTACGGCTGCTGCTGCGGCTCCCCTGCGTTTGCTGCTGTTGCAGTTGCTGCTGCAGCTGCAGCAGCAGTTGGCATTGTTATTACTGCAGTTTCTGCTGCCTGCGCAGCTTCTGAATCCTTGAAAGTTCTCCCCCGCAGCAGCAGCTGACAGCAGCGCTGCAGCGCGCCGCCCCCTGCCTCCGCAGCAGCACCAGCAGCAGCCGCAGCAGCAGCAGCAGCAGTGCGGACACTGTGGCGTCTGTGTTTGCCTCTTTCGCGCCCCCCACGGCCTGCGGCCCCCCCAAATCCCAACCCCCACCCCTTAAACCCCAAACCCTAAACCCTAAACCCTAGATGTTCGTGCCGCTGCCCTACAGCCGCCCAGACGGCGCTGCGCTGCCGCCTGCTGCTGCCCTCATGCCCGGGGCCTTTCCCCCCGTGGGGGGGGCCCCCCCGGGGGCCCCCATGGGTCCAGTACCCTTAGTTCTGGCCCCAGGGTTTGCGCCGGGGGGCCCCCCGCTGCTCGAAAGAGAACCCATAGATGTTTGCAAACTCTTCGTGGGGGGCCTAAACCCTAGCACCACCGAGGCCGACCTCGAGGAGTACTTCAAGCAGTACGGAGCAGTAAGCAGCAGCAGCAGCAGCAGCAGCAGCAGCAGCGGCAGCGGCAGCGGCAGCGGCAGAGGCGCAGGGCGAGTAGGAGTAGCTGCAGCAGCAGCAGCAGCTGCTGCTGCTGCTGCAGGGGCGGGGGGAACAAGCAGGCTGTGGGGCTGCTCTGGTCGGGTTTAGGGCTAGGGTTTAGGGTTTAGGGTTTAGGGTTTAGGGTTTGCTGCAGGTGCGGAGCGCAGTGGTGATGTTTGACAAGAAGCTGAACCGCAGCCGCTGCTTCGGCTTTGTGACTTTCAATACAGAAAAGGAAACCCTCAGGGCTTACTGCATGGGGCCCCACACCATTGGCGGCAACGAGGTCAGAAGCAGCAGCAGCAGCAGCAGCAGCGGCAGCAGCAGCAGCAGCAGCAGCGGGAGGGGTCGCGGGGGCGTCGCTGCGTTTTGGGGCGCGTCTGTGGGCAGCCCGGGGCCTTCCTGGGTCGCGCAGCGCCAGGGTTGAGGGTTTAGGGTTTAGGGTTTAGGGTTTAGGGTTTGTTTTCAGGTGGAGCTTCGCCGCGCTATCCCCAGAACCACTTACTACCCAGGCCTGAGGGCCCCCGGCCTGGGGCCCCCCAGGGGGGGCCCCCCGGGGGCCCCCGGGGGCCCCTCTCCCCAGCGGGCTGATGAGGGGGGCCCCCCTGGGGGGGGCCCCCCTGCTGCAGCAGGGGGCCCCCCAGCAGCAGAAGACCCTGATGAGAAGGAATGCAAAGTCTTCATTGGGGGAATTCCCCCCACCATGACCACTGGTCAGCCGCGCCACCAGCTAGCTAGCTAGCTAGCTAGCTAGCTGGCTAGCTAGCTGGCTGGGAGTGTTGGCTAGCTAGCTAGCTCGTTGGCTGGCTGCTTAGCTAGCCATCTGTCTAGCTAGCTGGCTAACTGCGCTTACCGGCTGGCTAGCTACATTTATTGGCTAGCTAGCTACCTGCCTACGTTTATTTTTGGCTGGCTAGCTAGCTAGCCACATTTTAGCTAGCTGGCTAGCTGGCTAGCTGCAGCTGTTTGTGTCATCTGTTTGCATGCAGAGGACATCCACGGCTTCTTCTCGCGGCGGTTTGGAATGGTCAAGCGAGTGGACTTCTTCTATGATAAGGCAAGCAGCAGCAGCAGTAGCAGCAGCAGCAGCAATCGCAGCAGCAGCAGAAGCAGAATAGCAGCAGCAGCAGCAGTGGTGGTGGAGGGTTTGTTGCTGCTGCAGCCGGTTTGCTGAGTTCTCCGTTTGGCTGAGTCCAACAGCTGCAAATTCGAATTCTTTTTTTCTGCTTTTGCGGCTGCAAGCTGCAGTTTTTAGCTTCGCTGCTGCTGCTGCTGATCTTGCTGCTGCTGCTGCTGCTGCTGATGGGGCGCGTGAGGCGTTTTGTGCTCTGAGTGATTCCTGTTTCTGCGACAAGTCTAGCTGCTTTTGCACCTGCGAATCTCGCAGCTGCTGCACCTGCAAATCTTGCTGCTGCTGCTGCTGCTAATCTTGCTGCTGCTGCTGCTGCTGCAGGTGACTGGGCGCATGAGGGGTTTTGGGTTTTTGGTTTTCGCTTTCCCTCATTCGGCCAAAATGGCTGTGGGCCATCACCAGCTGGGAGATGTTGTGGTGGAGGTTAAGAAGGCCGTGGACAAGTGAGTTGCAAACCCTAATTTAGGGTTTAGGGTTTGGGGCTTGGGGTTTGGGGTTTGCGCAGGCGGCAGCTCGGACTCTCTGCGAGCAGCAGTGCACTTGTTGGGCCGAGAGGGTGTAGACAGTGCGGCCCCAGACCCTAATTTAGGCTTTTGGGTTCAGTATCTGAGGAACCACCAATTTAGGGTTTAGCGATGCTGCTTAGAGAAGGCGAGGCAGTTGTAGAGAGCCCCAAACCCTAATTCGGGGTTCTGAGGTGCAGTTAAGCCCTCATTAAGAGTTTGACGCCAGTGCCAATCTCTAGCGAGAGGCAGCATGCTGTAGGCAGTGGTAGCTGGAAACCCTAAAACAGGGTTTCCAGCTACCACTGCAGTCAGCTCGTCTAGTTTATCAGACAAGCTAAACCCTAGTTTAGGGTTTAGCGGATAGCCCAAAGCCTAGATCAGCGGTTTAGACAAATCCAGTTGGAGGAGTGGCCAGGACACTAAACCCTGATTTGGGGAATAGATGATTTAATTCGTAGGGCGTTACTGGGCGCAGCAGAGCGAAACCCTAATTTAGGGTTTGCTGCTCCGGCCTTTTCGCTGCAGCTCGTTTCTGTTCCGTCTGCCTCATTTCTTATTCTTTTTCCTGCCTTTTTTCAATCAGTCTACCTTTTAATTGACTAATTTTAATTAACTAATTTATATTTATTTAATTTGGGGTTTTAATTTATTTTGTTTTATTTGAATTTCTTTTTCTTGCAGAGAGGAAATGCGAAACCAGAAAGAGGCGGAGGCGGCCAGCGGCGGCGGCTCGAGCACCTCCAGCAAACCCCGTGCGTCTTCCAAAACCCTAAACCCTAAACCCTAATTTGAGGTCTATCCAGGCCTCAGTATAAGTCTAGACCCTAGCCTAAACCCTATGCCGAGTCCGGGCCCTAGCCTTACTAGATCTTTTCAAAACCCCAAACCCTAGCTAAAAACCTTCACAAAACCCTAATCCAATCCTAAACCCTTGCTGCTGCTGCAAACCCTAAACCCTAGCTCAAACCAATCTTGCAGTCTCGGCGGCGGCGAAGCAGCAGATTCTCTTCTCCTGCCTTTTGTCCTTGCAGCCGTTAGGGTTTAGGGTTTAGGGTTTAGGGTTTGGGCCGCTGTATATCCCTAAGGTCCTCAACTTAGGGGTTAGGGTTTAGGGTTTAGGTCTCATGGCTAAGCTTCGCCTCACATCCTTAGAGCCCCACCTCCAGGCTCCAGTCCTGAGGGTCCAGGGTCTAGGGTTTAGGGTTTAGGGTTTAGGGTTTGTGCGCAGCGCCGCGGCGGCCCCCGCCTTCTGCGCAGGGGGGGGGAGTGATGGTTCGTTCAATGAGAGCAGCAGTTCCTGCTTTAGATTTTGTTCCATTAGAAATGACTTTGCATCCTGTTGCTGCTGCTGCAGCAGCAGCAGCAGCAGCAGGGCCCCCCCGGGGGCCCCTGCAGGACCCCTACTCCGTGTTTCCCCACGCCGCCGTTGCTGCGCCTGCTGCTGCTGTTGCTGCTGCTGCTCCTGCTGCAGCAGCAGTCGCCCCCAGCGCCTACGGAGCAGCTTATTATCCAGTGGGGGAGCCGCAGCAGCAGCTAAGTTATGGGGGGGCCCCCGGGGGCATGTTTGTGTCTCCAGGGTACAGCTATGTTGTTGCGGGGGGCCCCCAGGACATTTACGGCCACCAAGCAGCAGCAGCAGCAGCAGCAGAGCAGCAGCAAATCACAGACCCCTATGATGTCCAGGGCGCCATGAGGGCCAGAGCAGCCAAAATGACCCAGAGGTCGCAGCCCTACTGAGCAGCAGCAGCAGCAGCAACGGCACCAGCAGCAGCAGCAGCAGCGGCAGCAGCAGCAGCAGCAGCAGCAGCGGCAGCGGCAGCAGCAGCAGCGGCAGCAGCAGTGGGGTGGGGAGGTGCAGCTATTCTTGATTTGCCTCTGTGCAGGGTAGGGTGTTTGCTGCTGTGCTCATTCCTGTGCGGCGCACGTAATCTGCAGCAGAAGCAGCAGCAGCAGCAGCAGCAGCAGCGGCAGTGTGAGGCCGAGGGGAGGGGGCAGATGTAAGGGACCGAGAAGCAGCAGCAGCAACAGCAGCAGCAACAATAGTGTAGCAGCAACTCTGTCTATAGCCGTTGCAGCCTCTAGGGAGCCCGAGAAGACACAGCAGCAGTAGCTGCAGCAGGAGCAGCAGCAGTAGCTGCAGCAGGAGCAGCAGCAGTAGCTGCAGCAGGAGCAGCAGGAGCAGCAGCGCTTGCTGCAAATGCAATAGGCTGAGGTCAGCAGCAGCGGCGGCTGCCGCTGCTGAGAAGAGCGCAGTAGCAGCAGCAGCAGCAGCAGCAGTTGGTAACTTGTTGCAGCGGCAAAGGCCAAGTTGTCTGTACACCTGAGTAGAGTCCTTGTGCTGCTGTAGTGCTGCTGAGGGATATTTAAAATTGAAAATAAATAAAATGAAAAAAAGAAGTCTTCAGCAACAGACTGTGTCCTGTAGCGCTAATTGGGGTGTACGTACACCTGAACTAGTTGGCCACCAAGGCAGGAGCGATTAAAGTAAATTAAATTTATATTTGTTTCAATTTTAATTAAATTTAATTTATATTTACTTTAATTCTAATCAGTTAACTGCACAGAGCTGCCTGTACACCCCAGCGCTCGCGCAGGCACACCTGCCTATACACCCGAAATTTTTAAACTTGACTTCAGAAGAACAGCCAACGGGGCCCTCTCTAGGGTTTAGAGTTTAGGGTTTAGAGTTTAGGGTTTAGGGTTTGCGCAGCGGGCACGCGAGAACAGCTCTACGGCCTAGGGTTTACTAGGGTTTAGGCGCAGGGGGCGTGGGAGAGGCTTACGCTAGGGTTTAGGGTTTAGGGTTTAGGGTTTCGAGCAAAGCGCAGTGAGCGTGCAGCAGCGAGGCTTCGCACTTGCGACGAGGGTTTGCTCTGAGGGTTTAGGGTTTAGGGTTTAGGGTTTATTTCTGGTCTCTGAAGAACGGAAAAGACAGAAAATGAGAAAATAAAATCTAAAAGGAGGATTTAAACTAAAAGGAAAGAGACTCAAGAAAAAAACTCTTAAGGCGGAGCTCGAAGGGACCCTCGGGAAACCCTGCGTGGCTAGGGTTTAGGGTTTAGGGTTTAGGGTTTGCCACCTCAAGCCCTGAACAGATACGAAGTGCCCCGTCGCAGCGGGTGGAAGGATTTAGGGTTTAAAAAGGGTTTAGGGTTTTAAAGGAATAAAAGAATCCAAAATGAGGGTCTAGGGGTTTCTGCTTGCGTGTCGCTCGGCCTTCAACGCCTAGGATTTAGGGCCTAGGGTTTAGGGTTTCGTAAGGCAGTCTTTGTTTCTAAATTAATATTTATTGTTATTCACCATAATGTATTATTGTTATTATTTATTGTTATTTTGTTTATTTATTATTTATTATTTATTCTTAATTGCTGTCCATTTGTTCTTCATTTGTCTTTTTTTATTTTCTGCATCACTTCCGTCTTTTGGTCCTCAAGCCCTTTCCATCTCCATTTATGTAGAATTTAAATGAATTTTATTTTAATTGTTTTTTAATTTCATTTAAATTGCATTTTAATTTCATTTTAATTCCATTTTAATTTGAGCCTTTGGGTTCGGAGTTGAAGGTGCATGCAGCCCAGGTGTACGTACAGCGCGCCGGCACTTGCATGTGTCATTTTCTTCGGTTTTAACGAAAGTAAAAACGGATTTCGACATTTAATTTGTTTTATTTTATTATTAGTTGAATTAAAACTTCAAAATGTTCCTTTTTAAAGGCTTTTTGCTGCTTTTCGCCCTTTTTTCTCCAAATTCCGCTTTTTTGTTCCGCCGTTTCGAAACAAAGGAAAAAATTTGTTTCTTCTGGATTTTCTGCACCGCGGCGCCTTTTTGAGGTTTTCGATTTACTGTTTTATATTTTGTTAATTATTTGTTAATTTATTTATCATTTAATTGTCATTTATTAATTGTTTATTAAGTATTTATTACTTTTTTTTTAATCGTCTTGTTTGTCATTTATTCTTCATTCGTTGTTCTTGCGGGAACTTCCGCGAAGCTTTTTGGATTTAAATCGAAGAATAAAATTGAGCTTTTAAATATTCAAAATTTTAAAAGAAACAAATAAACCAATTGAGTGGAAGATGAGAGGCAAAGTTGTCAGAAAATGAGAAGCACTGGAGAACGTAGAAAGTCTGCTGCTGCTGCTACAGCAGCAGCAGCAGCAGCAGGAACTTAAGCAGCAGCAGCAGCTGCAGCAGCAGCAGAAAAGGCGGTGGGGCTGCATGTGCAGCAAAGGAGGGGTTGTTGCAGGTTTGCAAACAGAGAGAGTCCTGGTTTATTTTGAAATGCATCTTGCATGCAAGAAATGTTTTTAAATTTTAAATTAGAAAAGTTATAAAATTCTGCAGTTTCGGTTGTGGGGGTTGCGGTGTACGTACACTGCACAAAAGGAGGCACTTGAGTTCTTTTCTGAAACCCCAAATTCACTTTTCATTTTTTAAAAATAAAACAGATTTAGAGAAGGCCCTTTGTAGTCTTGGGCGTTTACTATTTATTTTATTTATTTGTTCATATGCGCGTTTATTCACTTATTTATTTTACTATTTATTTATTTTATTATTTATTTGTATAGGGGCCTTCGTTCGTTTGTCGTTTGCAAGCAGCTTTGTTAGTTACTTATTTAGTTATTTGGTTATTAATTACTTCTTTATTTATTTATTGTTCACTAATTTATTATTTATTTATTTGTTTTGCGGCCTCTGAAACAGCCTATTCTGAATTAAAGGCATTTCGGCATTTGTGCTGTACCTACAGCTCCGTCATTTATTTTAGTTTCTTTTTAAAATGATAAAAAGGCCGGAGTGTACGTACACCTGAGTCGAATGAAGTGCAGGGAAATGAAAAATGGAATTTAAAACTTCGAAAGCTTTTCGAAATTCAGAAATATGATTTGAAAATCCCCAAGTGCAAATGTGGGCAAAGTCTAGAGGAGTAAATATATTTCTGCATGCATTTGAAATAAAAAAGGAAAGATCAAACAAAAAACCTAATTCAAAATAAAAGTTCAATTTAAATTCCTTTAAAAGAAAAACATAAAAGAAGAAAAAGGGAGAAATTCATCTAGGCCGTAGTGACGGGGTGTACGTACACCTCAGAGTTCCAGCCCTTCAGATTTCCACAGATGGAAATTTGTCGAATTTGAATCATTTTGGAATTTATTTCACCAATTTCATTTATTTGTTGAATTTTTAAATTAAATTTTCGTATATTGAATTTATTTTTGCATTTTAAATCGCTTTTTTGCGTTTTTTGAAATCTGTAAACAGCCGTTGACCGAATTTCTGAAGTGACTTTCGAAGTTTCTTTTAATTAGCATTTCAGGAATTCTTTTAATCTTTTATTCAGCGTTTTTCAGTTTGTTTTTTAGAATTCTTTTGAACTTTTATTCAGACTTTTTCTCAGAAAAGATGCACTTTTCGTAAATTTCCCAAGTATTCAAATGTGTATATTTACGTACTTTATTAGACTCCATAAAATAAAATAAATGACATTTAAAGGGAATTAAAGGGAATAAATAACATTTAAAGGAAAACAGAGAAACATAAATGGCAAATAGGCAAAAACGGAGATGAAATTGCTTTTAAATGTTTTCGAAATGAACATAAATGAAGTTCTTTCTCATTCCCACCTGTACATACACCCCAGACGTGCAGTAAATAGCGCAAATAAATTACATGAGTTTACTTTTAAAATAAAATAAATAATTTTATAAGTACTCTTTCTACCTCTTTTGTGTGCACTTGGTATAAATATATATTATTTATTCCTATTTATAAACACTTTTTATTTATTTCAAGTATTATTTAGTGCATCTGTACAGGCTACATAGACATAGAGATTATGTATAACGATTATGCATAATATATTTTATTCTACTTTATTGTATTTTATTATTATTACATTTATATTATTTTACTTTATCGAAGTTTATTCTATATCTATATTACGTTTTATTTTACTTTACTTTCTTACGTTTTATTATTATACATTTTATTTCATTACATTTTATTTTATTACCTTTTATTTTATTGCACTTTATTTTATTTTACTTTATTTTACTTTATTATACTTTACTTTATTCTACTACGTTTTATTGTATTTTTTTGTACATTTTTACATTCTATTACATTATTATTATAAAGTATAACTTATTTTATTATACGTAATTGTACTTTATTATATTTCGTTTTATTTTATTTTACTGTATATATCTTCACATAGGTGTACATACACCTGAACACATGCACAGAAGTAACTGCAGTAATATATTTTAGATTTAGATTTACAATTTATATGTAAGTTTAGATTGTTATTTATAATTATAATTGCAATTACAATTATAATTATATTTTAAATTATATTTATATTTATAATTACATTTTCGTTATTTTCTTTTGAGTGCTTGAGTGTATGTTCAGGCAAAAACACTTTACAAAATTCCGAAATTCCATTTTACGAAAAGTTCATTTCAAGAACAATTTTAAAAATAGATTTAGTAGAGCTGCATCTGTTGCAAATAAATTTATTTTGAAGATTTAATTGCAAAGAAATAGATTAAAAGGAAATATTCAAATATTCATGTTTCAGGTGCAACCGGGTGTATGTACACTTGCTTGAACAAATAGTTTGCGCTCTTTTTTGATCCGGTTTAAAGTGCATTTAATTTACATTTAATTAACATCTAACTTCATTTACTTGTCCATTTAATCTAATTTAATTTAATTTGGATTTAATTTTAAGTCGGATTTAAATTGCAACTAAGTTGGATACAAGGCCGCGTTTTTCGCTTTAAGTGAGTTTTGCTTTTGCTCTAATCAAATTAAAGTAAAATAAATAGAAAATATGTCTTTTCTAACCTTTTAAAAGATCTTTAAATAGAAACAAATGGTAAATATTTATTTCTTACAGCTTGCCTAATTAAGGGGAAATAATTGACTTTTATTGGGACAAAAGTGAAAATAAATTCATTAAATTTGAATCCACAAAAGGCAAAAAAGCAAATGCTTTTTCTTTTTTTGTCTGAGTAGGAGAAGAGCCAAAGTGCAAATATGGCAAAAGTTGAACAGAATGCCTAAACAAGTATATATATATATATTTAAATAGATGAAATATTTTTATATTTGAATAAATAGATAATAAATAGATATTATCTATTTATTATCTTTATTTAAGTAGCTATTTATACGGGAGAAGGCCGGCAAAGTGAAGTGCTGAAAGTGCTGCTGCGCAAATTGGTGAGGTGTACGTACACCTCAGAGCAAAGTGCAGAGTGCGGCAGCACCGGCAAAAAAGAAATTAAAAGAAAGAAAAGAGTAATAAAGGGGGAAATAAATAATAAAAGTAAAAGCAACTAGATGAAAGTGTAGAGGAAACCGCTCATTTCGGTTTCACGGCGAGGAAACCGGGTGCACGTACACCTGAATCTCGCTCTTTTTTGTGACCGAGAAGGTTCCAGGTAAATTTAAAAAGAGGCGTTTCATTTTTAAAAAGATTTGAATGCATTTTCCCTTTGAAGATGCTCTAATAGCAGTTCTTTGCAGGGCGTTGACACAAGGGTTTAGGGTTTAGGGTTTAGGGTTTCTGATGTGCGCCACAGGTGTTTTCTATCCCTCATTTGGCCTTCCTTTGTTTTCTTTTCGATTTCATTTATTGTTTTATTTAGTTTTTATTATTTCTTTCCATTTTTTAGGTTTGTTTCATTTCCCTTTTTCCTCTAGCGGCTGCGGTGCTGCTGCGGCGCGGTGTACGTACACCGGAGCAGCAGCAGCAGCAGGGCCACCTGCAGCATTTCAATTTCATTTTTTTTAATTTCAAATTTTTTGTTAAAAACCAAATGAATATAAAACTTGAACTGAAGCAACTGAGGCAGTGCCCCTGCTGCCTTTATTTGTTTCGCTTACGCCCCCAGCAGCAGCAGCTACAGCAGCAGCAATAGCAGCGTCGAGAGCAGCAGCAGCAGCAACAGTAGCAGCAGCAAGAGCAGCGGCAGCAGCAGCAGCAGCAGCAGCAGTGTTTGGAGTAGATTATAAAGATAAATGTTTGCCATTTTCTGGCAAGTTGTGGTGTCTCTTTTGCTGCTGTAGATGGAGCTTACGGACACCCTAAATATGTTGATGTCTTTCGTATTTGTTGCAGTTTATTTATTTTATTTATAAATTCATATTTGAATTATTTAATATATAAATTAATATTTATATATCTTCAATATAATTTATTTTGCATGCAGCAGATCATGTATTTGAAACGGCACTTTCATGGGCTGCTGCTTCCTTGCTGCTGCTGCTGCTGCTGCTCGTTTTGTCGGCTGCTGCTTCTGGCTAGCTGCTGCTGCTGCTGATCTAGCCATTGCTGCTGCTGCTGAACTAACTGTTGCTGCTGCTGCTGCTGATTTAGCTGTTGCTGCTGCTGAAGGTCTAGTTGCTGCTGCTGCTGCCGATGTAGCTGCCACTGCTGAGCTAACTGCTGCCGCTGCCGGTTAGCTGCTGCTTCTGATCTAGCTGCTGCAGCTGGCTATCAGCTGCTGCTGCTGGCTAGCTGCTGCTGCTGTTGTTGCTCACTATCTGCTGCTGCTGTTGCTCACTATCTGCTGCTGCTGCTGCTGCTGGCTAGCTGCTGCTGCTTCTGTCGAAGACACCTTGCTGCTTCAGGAAGGCATGGAGAGGCACAAAGCGCTGCTGCTGCTGCACCTTTTCCTCGTGGGTCAGGTGGAGGGGCATGCAGCAGAGCTGCTGGTTAATGGACCTGCTGCTGCTGCTGCTGCTGCTGCTGGGCCGAGTCAACTTTATGGCCAGTTTAATCTTTCCCAAAAAGTAAATTCCTGCTGCTACCCGCCGCAGCAAAGAAGGCCCCAAGTTGTTTTGCTGCAGGTACAGCGCCAGGGCTCTGTCCACAGTCATTGCCTGCAGCAGCAGCAGCAGCAGCAGCAGTTGAGTGGCAGCAGCAGTCTGGACGGCAGCAGCAGCACTTCGAGACGCAACGGCACCATATTAAATAGCAGGAGCAGCACAAACAGCAGCAGCAGCAGCAGCGCCTTACGAAGCAACGGCAGCAATTTAAGCAGCAGCAGCAGCAGTACAAGCAGCAGCAGCAGCAGCACTTGAATAAGCAGCAACAGCAGCAGTTGAATGGGCCCATTTGCTGCTTTCAGTTGTCACCCTTTATTGGTTTGCTGCTGGCTGTTTGGTCCCGGTAAACAACAGCACAACTAGGGTTTAGGGTTTAGGGTTTAGGGTAGGAAGGCTAGGGTTTAGGGTTTAGGGAAGGAAGGCTAGGGTTTGGGGTTAGGGTTTAGGGTTTGGGGTTTAGGCTTGCTTTGTCTTTGTCTCTCCTGAGTTGTTTTCCATCTTCTGCTGAATCGCTGGCAAATCTGTTTTGCTGCTGCGGCATTTTGCTGCTGAGGAAAGAAGCAGCAGAAGAGCTCCTCAAGGGGCTGCTGCTGCTGCTGCTGCTGCTGCTGTCGTGGCTGGTGTACGCCTCATCCGCTGCTGGTGCTGCTGCTGCTGCTGCTGCTCGCCGCTGCTCTCGGGCCTGCTGGTGCTCCATTAGCTGCTGCTGAAGCTGAGCGATCCTCTCTTCCTGCAGCAGAATCTGCTGCCGCAAGGCATCGCGGTCCATTTGCTGCTGCTGCTGCAGCTGCTGCTGTTGCTGCTGCTGGTGCTGCTGTTGGGAGTCAAAAGAGGAGTAGCCTGCAGCAGCAGCAGCAACAGCAGCAGCAGCACAAATTAAATCTTCGAACGAGACCGCTCCTGCTGCGCTGTATAGACACGAGTCGACTGTCTAAAGGAGCAGAATGAGGAAGTGCAGCAGCAGCAGCAGCAGCTGTTGCTGTTGCTGCAGCAACGGCAGCAAGGGCCAGGAGAAAAACACAAAAACAACAACAAAAGAAGAAGAAATAGAAGCAGAACTAGGAGGAGGAACCACAGGAGCAACAGTTACAGCTGCAGCAGCAGCAACAGGGGTTCAGGAGAAGCAGAAGCAGGAGCAGCAGCAGGAGCAGCAGCAGCAAGAAACGGCGCTTATCTGACTGTAATAGGATTCTTGTTGGTTGTTCCATTGTTCCTCTGATGGGTAGAGCATTTGCTGCTGCATGAAGAAGTCTTGCTGCTGCTGCTGCTCGATATGCTGCTGCTGCTGCAGCATTTGCTGCTGCTGCTGCTGCTGCTGCCACAGGAGCTGCTGCTGCTGCTGCTGCGCCTGCAGTGCTGCTCTCCGCGCTCTTTGCTGTTTCAGCTGCGCGGGAGATGGCCCAGCAAGACACAGCAAATGAGAAGCATCGATTTCTTGCAGCTTTTGTCTTGCTGCTGCTGCTGCTGCTGCTGCTTCCTGCTGCTTCCTGGCTTCTTCCTGCTGCCGCTGCTGCTCCTGCTCCCGCGCCGCCGCCGCAGCAGCAGCAGCTGCTGCTGCTGCTGCGGCCTCCTGCTGCGACTTCTCTTGCTGCTGCTTCTTCGATTTTGCAAGCAGCTGAAACCACAACAGTGATTCACAAAGTGAAAGTGAAAAATGGAAATAAAAGAAAATAAAATAATCAAAATGAATAAAATAAATGAATGAAATAAAGAAAACAACAACCAAAAATGAAAATGATGAAATTAAATGTGCACATTTGCTGCTGGAGTTTCTTGCATGCAGCAAGTCTGCAGCTGTACGTACACTTCAAAAATGAGCAGTATCTGCATTTGTGTCGATTTCGATATTTGAATTTATTCATTTAAACAAATATGTACACATATAAATATATAAATATATAAACAAAACAAAACAAATAAATTAACTTGAACTCTTCTTGCCTCTCTGCTCAAGGAAGCTGCCACAGAGTTGCTGACGGAGAAGCAGCCAATTGCCTTCAGCGAGCGGCACAACTCTTCTGCTGCTTTGTTGTACAGAGGTGCTGCAGCAAACAGAAAGCAGCAGCAGCAGCAGCAGCAGCAGCAGAGGCAGGGTTATTGGTGGTGGTTCGGAAGGTGGGTTTCATTTGTGGTTGGAGTGGGCAGCAGTAGCGATGCTGCTGCCGCTTGCTGCTGCATGCCGCTG